GAGTTTTCACTCCAACTTGTCTGAATGAGATTGTGTCTATGATGTGCCATGGCTATTGCTGTGGAGACAAGTGAAGCAGCAGGTCAGGGAAAAAACCTGACCTTTCCAACCCTTTAAATAGTTGCTGTTGAGGTACATAACATGAAATGTGTTAACTAAGACGAAGTTCAAAGAACAAATGGACCTCCTATCAAGGTATCTATACTAATAACCAAATAAGTGACTACGGACGTGGTTACTCCTATTTTGCCCGTTGAAACTAATGTACCACCACTTTTGCCTTTAATGGGGCTTTTTCAAGATGGCCGCAGGGGAGGAAAATGTAAAAAAATGCATTTGCGCATGCGTCAGCCAGCCCTAGCCCCATTCATTTAACGAGTGCATTCTGAAGTCCACAGGCTCTAAATTAGACTGGTCCAAAAAAATACTCCCCTCAGTATTGACACACATCTGGAACTTAGCATTGGGCCAAGAGCCAATATTTGGACCAGGCTGTCAAGCAGTTTTCGATAGGAAAGAATACGCCATACAAAAGCATTGGGTAATTCTCTTTCCGGGTACACCCCCGGAGTGAGATTGTGAGCATGTCAGCGCACATGCTCATGGACCTTTTGGAGCAGAGGGCCCCCTCCCACTGCTCATAACACAACATCAGCCTCAGTCTATCATACAGTATCAGCATTATTAGCACTAACATTCTACAAGATTGTTGTTATTGTACAATGTACATTTCTTTGAAAAAATTAGACATAAAGCCTAGCGTACATCGGACTGGCAACTGATTATATCCGTCGCATATGAGTTGCTGCCCCGCACACATCGACAATCTGACGAAAATGGGCAACTCCCAGTGGCAGACCAGTCTCGGGAATAACAGCGCGTACATCGACAGCAACTGGCCGTCAACTACAGTGTGTTTTCTGACATAAACTGTTGAGGGCTCGCAATACACACACGTTGTCGGAGCGGCGCATGGAGCGCGCACATCGGGTCATATCTCCGAAACTGAGGACAACTAGTTGCCGAAAAGTATAACACGGGCAACTGACTGAAACTGGAGACCGACTGTTCATCTCCAGTTGTAAGAGCGCTCACATCGACCGATTTCGGCAACTGATCATCTCCCACCATCTACTCTCAGTTGCCAAAAGCCGCCTTGCAACTAGCTGTCTCCAGTTTCTCTGTCGATGTACGCTAGGCTTAAGATCTAAAGTTCATAATTCATTCTTTAGGTGAGGGGCAACTTCATAGAGAGTGCAGCTGTCCCTTCAAACTAGAGCAGGGACAGTGTCAGCTCTGGCCTCGGAGTCTCTGGTGTTTCAGGGGACGCACAGCAAATGTTAAACAGCTACTTGGAAATGTCACCGCAGTCAAGTACAGTGCAACCAGGTTCACTGTCACGAGCTGCCGAGGAACCGAGGCGGGCAAAGAAGACGAGAGCATGTCAAAACTATCTTAACCCCGTAGAACCCAGACATAAAGATTTCTGTTGAAAAAAAAATTTAGTGACCACATTTGGCAATGTCACATATTTGTTTATTTGGGTTCTTGGGTACATGCATTAGTTAAGATTAAGAGTAAGAGATCCTTCATTTGTCTCACAGAAGGTAAGTGTCAGTTTTGCATCACCGGTTACAGAATAGTAGAAATGAGGAGCGCACAACACAAAATAAAAATAAAAAAACCATATACTATAATAAAATAAAATCTCTAACTTCAGAATAATAAAGAAGCAAGAGTAAAATATCTAGCTTTAGCCTTATAAGGAAGCAGACCTAAAACCTCCAAAAAGCCATACTTCTTTCTCCATAACCATTGAACTTTATGTTAGGGTGCTACAGGGCTAAAAGGGGACAAGGAATACACTGCTTTTACCTATGTTGCATGATATTTCTGGTTTTCTTTGTCAGTGGGCTTTTTGCCTCAGCACCTACAGTACACCCAGGACACAATGGCCTATGGCAAGCTCATGACCCATGTTTTTACAAGGGTGTGTACATTTATTAATATGCTAATAAACCATACAATTTCCTAAAAAAGGGCAACTTTAAAAACGATGCAGCATGTGCAAAATCCCAAATTCCGATTGTTATGCAATGTCTCTTGTGTGTAATTTATAACCTGCTTACATGACCTACATGTGAGCAACGGGCTATAAAAACAGTTTGGGTATTCTTGCTGTCTAAATTGTTGCTGTATTTGGTCGGAGTCTTCACAATAAACAAAACATGTCTCTCAGTGTGTAAGCAAAGAGGTTTTGGGCAAATTCCTGTATTTTTGCGCAGTGGGGATGAGGCTATTTTGGAAGGAAGACATGTCCATAGACAACTCCTGGAAAGAAATCCCTTTCAGAAAGTCCTTTAACAAAAGGGCAAACAGTTTCGTCTTTTTAACAGACTACGATTCACTGAAACCTAAGAAATCATCATCATCACAGACGTTTTTTGCCGGCACTGTAGATCATAAGGTCACGCGGCGGTCATAGAGACAGCAATACTCCTTCATTACCCATAATAGTGTCCCTGTTCACTACAGAAGTCAGGGGGAAATATGGCCTTAGCTCCTTCAATGGCGGGGCTCAAATAGATGCACTTAGGATAATAGAACAAAAGTAGATTGGGAGCACTGTGATTGGCCGGTTGGAGGGAGTACTTGAGTCCCTAAAGTCCATTACCTGATCAAAGCAGCAGCAATGACGCACGCACGGAGTCTTTAACCTCGACGATGCAGGCCTCCCAATGTAAGCGAGTCTATTATGACAACAAACTTACCCTCAACATTGACTTGTGTAGAGGGAATATAGATTTGGTCTCAAAACTTAAGTGTGTACACAACAAATCACTGTGATTAAGATAAACCACTGAAAAATAGTAAAACAATCTGAAGACTAACAGATAATTTAGCTGAATAATGGAAACAGAGAAAGGAAATGATTAGCAGTAGCTTGCATTGGCCAAAAAAAACCCAGAAGGATCCAATGTTCACAACTATTAAACCAATTTAAACACTAAGAAAGGTCACATAAATTATTGGTGGTGGTTATAACGTTTACATTGACAACTTGAGTAAAATAAATTGTTTTTTGCTATAATTAAGTATCAGAAATTTCAACTATGCAAGAGATTAATAGTGTATTATTGCTTTTACAATTGAATATAGTAAAATTCAATTATCAAAGCAATAACTGTAGTAATGTCAAAATGAAAAAAAAAAGATGATGAATAGTAACAATCCCTCAATAGATTGAATTCAACAGGAAAGTATATTTCAAAAATCAGCATGGCTTGCACTTAGCTATGTCTGTCGTGTCTACAATCTTCTCAACCACATATGTTATATAACAAAAACTTGGATATGATTTTTAAATTCACTAGCAGTTCATAGATATCTGGGACAAGAGCAGCATTCAACATATAGTGCATTTAGAAATAATATGACACTCCAACTTATACTTAATATATTTCCCTAATACCAAGTCAAAAACAGTATTAGCCGTGGTCAGAAAAGTCAGGCTGGAGAAATGTGAGTAAAAGAATATAAATTACTGAAGCATATAGTATGTATGAATTGTTCTACAGACAGCTATGACAAGAGAAAACCACTACAACATGGGCAGAAGCTGTGAAAAGTCAATATTGCTTGTTTTTTTTTTTAAATCTACAACCAAAAACATAGATTTTTTGCCTGCCACCGGACAAAAGCCCAACTCCAACCATAGCAGATTGAAAAAGAACTGTTTTTTTTTGGCTATGAAGAAAACAACAGTAAAACATTGCGAGTCATTAGCAGGGAACACACAACCCTAGTAGTGATCCAGGCTTGCGACAAGTCTCCCAGATGGAATAAATCTAAACAACATATCAAAAGAAAGCATGCCAACCAGTAACAAGTACCCGATATGATTTTTTTTTTTTTAATCGGAGAAGAGAAAACTGAACAAAGAATTCTGGACATCAACGGTGAGTTACCCATTTATATACTGAACCTAAATCCATAAGCCCTAATATATATGAATGAGTGAGTGATTTAAGTAGCATCAAACACTCTTACGACCACCTCTTTTGCCCCATCTCAAAACTAAAGATGGCCGCTCGCTAATTAGTTCCCTTCAAAGTGGGCTGTAAAACTGTTTCCAAGTGCCTGGAGCAAAAATCCTCTTCACCATAAAACCACAGCATAAAAACTATACATATGCTTATTACCACAGTTTAACTTCCAAAGTCGTTAGCCAGAAGTGCTCCCAGTACTGACCAAACAGTGCTATCAGCAAAAACACACAAGCTGCAAATAAATGATTCTTTGGCATCTTTGAGATACATCGAATAGATAGCACAAGTAGCTTCAGTCATAGAAAGCTACTGGGAGGAAACAAATAGGTCATATAATATCATATATAAGGATATGTGAATCGTTCAAATGTTCAGAAAATTGTTTAGGAATGTACACAATGCAAGAAGTGATGACATATGAGGTAATCAAGGCTGAAATCTGGTGGTCTTATTTTGAGTATATTCTGACTGTCTTCAAACTTAATTTGCCAATTTAGTTTGAAGTCATAAACCGGTAGTCTGTTGCTTTGCTATCTCATTCCAACATTCCGACATTTTTGTATCTTTTTGAAACAAGATAATAGTACTAAGATAAAGGTGCCCAAAATAAGCAAATTTTGCCAAATTTGAGCAACTTTTAACTTATTTTTCATCACTTTTTTGTTGTGTGACGGTATACATTGTCACATTTGTTTTACATTTACAATTTTGGGGACCTGCCGATAAGCTAATGCAGCTTCATGGGAGTTCCCTTTACAAAGCTGGGAATTAGCATGTGTAGAACTCGAATAAAGAACATGGACATACAAGTAATTACACAACATCTGAATTATAGACAGCTGTACGATCCAATGTTCTGGGGGTGTGTAGCTGAGAGTAGTGTGCCAATAACAAAAGCAAAGTATAGCAAATACATTTAAGAATAAAATGGGAGTTCCAATAGCAGCAACATCACAGCACGAACATCAAATGAAGCAGGAAGTATAGTTTCAAAGCTGTACTTACAATAAACGGAGAATCGTGGCCCATAGAAATCACTGTCTGGTTTACAGTCCTTAGAAGTTTCTCCATGATGATCTGCATGTGCCACTGAGTCGGACCCTAAAAACAACAGCAACAATGTTATGATATAGGTCAGTTATACATTTCTGCTTTAGTTATTCAAATCAGTCAGTCTAAGGGCCAGAAAACCATCAAATAGTGACTCACTGGGCGTTTTCCAAAGTTTTCCAAATATACAATATTTTCTGATAAGATAAAGAAGACATGATGCAGTGTGATTTGTTCACAAGATGTAACTTTTACAAGAGTATTTATTTTGCAACAAACAAAATGTATTATCAATAATGTTAGTATTGCTAGCCCTGGTACAAATTTGTCCTCAGCATTTAATATCATCGTAAATCATGGTTTTCCTACACAGACATTGTTGTAAAGGCTAGAGTCAGCATCTTTGTCAGCAATTGAAAGAACAAAAATAAATACATAAATCTTTACAGACACTATCCTAAACATCATCCTCATCATTCTTAAAAAACAGAGATAGTGCATTCATTGGAAAATAGAATTAAGAAATATTCATTCAATATATTTGTTTGTACAAAGAAATTATAAAGAGACCATAGATTAGATGTTTTAGAATGTAATGACGAATATGAAACAATATCTTGTAGAATATACATGATGAAACAAAATCCTATCGGCCTGACCTATCCCTATGCAAATACCAGAGGGACGTGGAGGAAGCCATTTTGTTCGCACACGCAACCAAATGTTTTTGCAAAGAATTTAATTTCAAAACTGATTTACGGACAAGTGTAATAACATTTCTGGACAGTGGTCTTTCATTTAATTTTCTTTGTTTGAAATAGTGAATCTGATTCTCTGATCTGTTGTTGGTGAATCGACAACTTTGTCAAGTCCTCCAAGACGACTGCTGTTATTATTTAGGGCTATCCACAAAAAAATCTAATTGAATTGAACTGAACTGAATGTCATAGGGGGCTTTTGATTTTGCATAGTACATCTCCTTTAAACCATTTACCTTCATAACATCTCCATAGAACTATTACATGGGTGCAGAGTATTGTGTAAATCATATTGATCCTCAAATATCTGCAGTGTAATAAACAACAGTAATATTTATCTCCCCAGATAACGCCCACCATTGAAATTGCAGCAGGTAACCAACTAATTTGCTTTCAAGAAAGAGTACACAACACCCAGAGGACTTTATAGATTTATAAGTAGATATATTTTCACTGGATATCATTAGTGAGTTAGAAGCTTGTCTGTTTGCATTTGGATTCCTTTGAGCTGTCTCGAGCTTTGCAGCATCTACGCAAACTTTTAATAATTTAGTCCCGGGCAGCAGCTGTACGTGAGAGAGTGAGTGTGTGCGTGCGTGGTTTCACCCAGAGGAGAGAAATCTGTAAAGAGAGTTTCGCATACTGCCTTCCAAAGCATTGAGTGTGACGCAAGTCTGTGGAGAATCTACCAAAGGGGAAATACTCGAGACTAGAGACTGGGGAAAGGTGTATCCAAGAAAGACTGAAATGTGAAATAAGCAGAGTGGATTTTGTCATGCGGGCTCAGTTTTGTAGTTGTTGTTTTTGATCTGTCCTTTAGCTTCAGTTCCTCACCGGACTAATCCAAAAATATACTCCATTAACCTTGATATCAAGAGGGCGGTACAGTAGCTGAGTGGTAAGAAATGAGGTCCTGTGTTCGAATCCTTGTCAGAACAGGGACTTTTTGAATGGAGTTTGAATATTCTCTGTCTCTGCATACACTTCTTTGGTGTGCTCTGGTTTCCGCTACCAATAAAACCATGTAAACATAGGTTAAATCATGATAAAATAAAGGAAACTTGACCTTCGAAGTAGTATTGGTTGGTTTACTGAAAACATCCATCTTTAATTGGTGTATTTTAAAAGTTCATAGTAATTTGGTTTTAGACCTACCCTAAAAAATGGTACTACATTCTGGAATAAACTGGTACTAGATATATATTAAACCATGTGCTGCGTGTAATTCCCTGTATGTAGACCCCACACTTCTCTTGTTCCTCTTATTGCTCTGATGGTAGAGATCAAAACAGCTGGATTCCACCAAATAACCTGGCAACCGAAAGGAGACTTGTTTTGTTTTTTGAATGGAGAATGAATCATCACTAATATTTGGATCAGCAAAGACTGTATATGACTTGACCTTGTATTTGGCAACACCTAATAAGTGGGTATGCAATTTTCAAAAATATAACAACTTCTCCTTTAAATAGGACACACACAGAGAAAAGCACACAGGCAGACAGATGGAAACAAAAAGCAAAAGGGACTAGCTTGACATAGGGCATCAGGAGCAGAGGCATGGTTCCTGATCAATCCCACAGTGTGCGTGTGTTTCGTGTTTGTTTGTTCTGTGTGGTTTTTGTGTGTGTGTTTGAGGCCAGGGGCAGAGCGAGGCCAAGTTGAATGAAGTACAGACACAAGACACCAGATTGAAACCCTCACAAATGCTTTCTCCAACGCTTGGACTCACTACTTTCAACTCATTTACTCCACTAAAGCTGTGTGAAAACAAGGGCGATTTAGTTCACAAGAATCGCTTTTCGAATAGAGATACTATCAGGCACTGAATCAAACTATAGAAAGGGTGATTGGGACAGAATTTCAGTCAGTTTAATAGGATGCCATACATATAGTAAGGCAAGGGAGAAAGTCTTAATACTCTTTCTCGCCAATTGAAAAAACCTTATTGTAGCTGTTTTCTGACAGTTATCGAAAAATCCCTACGTAAAAGTGATGGTTGAATGTTTTGCTCACCACGTCCTTCCTGTAGAGCACTTCCAGGACGTCGCTGAGCAGCTGGCAGCAGGCGTTCAGCTCCTCTCTCTTCATCTCGTCCCGTTTCTCCAGGTGAAACTTGAGCTGCTCCGTCATGAGTGGCAGCAGGATCTCCCGACAGTCTACGGACGCAAGCACAAAGCACATTGGGTCGATACTAACCAGCGAAAACACACGAGCTCATTCCTACTGAGAAACGACACAGGTTGTTCGCTCAAAAAAAAAAAAAAAAAAACCAGGTCAGAACCAAAACCAAACTGTTGTATTGCCCTGTTGCTTATGTACATGTAGGTCATGTGAAGAAGGTTATAGAGCTACACAGCCTCAAGGGACAATCCTTTGCATAATGGGAATGTATCAAGCCACACAACAAGAGTGAAGTTTGGGCTTTTGCGTGCACTGCTCTTTCCTTTATGAAGTTGTCCTTGTGAAAAAATATGTTTATGTTGTTTACATTGCTCACCATGGATGATAAGAAACCAGAAAGCGATCCAGAGACTTGAGAGACAGTAGAGAGACCAGAGAGAGAAGAGAGGGCAAGACCAGAGAGACCAGAGATTGAGACTAGAGAGAGATGAGAGAGACAGCAGAGACCAGAGGGAGAAGAGAGAGAAAAGCTAGAGAGAGCAGAGATTGAGACTAGAGAGAGACCAGAGACAGACTAGAGAGACCAGAGAAAGACACCCTAACCCTAGCCTAGATATTATAAATCAGATATTTGGTCCAAAGAGATTATGCAGTCAATTCCGCGGTTAGTAATTTTACTTGACTATTTTGTCCACTCTACCGAGCCCTGGTGAATGCTAACCAGCCGACACGCAGCACAATATCCCGGGAAACATATGCCGCATCCTCAAGCTTCTTAATGGCTTCCTTCCAGCATCCCTCAGCCACATTACCACAGTGTACACAATTAATTTATCCATTGCAATGAGCTGCTTAAGCAATCAACAATGTAGCGATGCAGCTGTCAAAAGTCACCAAGGAGCTCTGACACAAGCGGTCGCTAGAAACCATTCAATTAGAACAAACATGTGAAGGTAATTAGGAGTCCACTCGACAAATCAATAAATAATTACGTAGCATTGTTAACACACTTTTAGTCAATGCAAGGGCTTGTCGAGCTTTAGCAGTTCTAAGTATTTAAGTATTCTATATCCGTTGAATTTTCACGTGAGGAGCACTGTGTTTTGTAACTGTATCCAAAACTGCAACCACAAAAAGCTAATTCAGAAATCTTACTCTACTATTTGTCCCCTTTAAGCTGAATAAAACTAAACTAAATGGGGGATTCAGGGATTTCTAAATCATTGAATAATAAACATGTACATATCCTAATTCAATATCTATCATCCCAGATACTTGAAGTTACTCCATTTAAGAGAATTTCCAAAAGCAAATAGGTGTCCATGCTCACCTCCCTGCTTCCTGATTGAATTCAATCCTTTGAAATTCTGTATGGATCGGCAAGCTCTCTTCTCATTGGTCTAACAATTCTCCTTTGCATATCTTACTGTCGGTGGCTATGCCAAGCAGAGGGATCATTTAAAATATATTCAGAAAACAATATTTAAGTTACTTCAACATTTTTGCTTTCATTTAGTTCAAACATAACCAAAAAAATTGCTTTGGTATATGGTGTAAACAACTTATCTTAAAGTTAAAAAAAAATAGACATAAAGGCGCATACAAAATCTTGACACATTTTTAATAAACAAGTACAAAAACGAAAAAAATACTTTAAACTCTCTTCATACTACTTCATACTGTTTATCTCTGTCACAGATTTTGATTGGACAGAAAAGTGACAGAAAAGTCAACTGATTTGTTCAAGCGATAAGTGTATTGACCATGAAGAAAAGTTAGGTCCCCCAGCTTTAAAAGAAATAAACTTTTATTGATATGAGTAATATTGAAATACATGAAAAATACTAAAGTGATTTTTTTGGGTGAGAAAAAAAGAAAAAAAAATACTTGGATTTACATGATGAGTGAATGAATTGGTGTATGCATGACCGGGCTAAAGATTGTTGTGACTTGTTAATATTGAAGGAGGCCTGTGTGAAAGAAACCCCATCCAAGGACCGTCTGCAAACACAAATATTGCATTTACATTGACCTGCGGTGGAGAATGTGTGTGTGGTTATTTGAAATGGAGGACGGCGTCGATAAGGCACAAAGTCAGAGTTCCCAGGAGGCAGTAAACCCAGGCTCAGGGCCAGCAGATTATCATATTTTTATTAAATCCCTTGATAGTGATCGGGGTGGCATTGTGTGTGTTCTGCCATGTAGGAAGGACATGTAAATGGATTTGTGGCTTTCAGAAGGTTATAGGAGAAAAGTCTTGGTATGGACATTTTTGAGGCTTTTGAATTGCATTTATTTCTTATATATGCAGTGCAAAAAATGTATACAATATTTGTTGAATTGAGTAGTTTTTTATTGTAATTTGAGTGCATTCTCACAGGCTATTTAGTCTTATCTCAAGAACTGATGTTTTATTTTCTCATTCCAACAATGGTGGAAAAAAAGTCATGAATTGCTAAAATTTGACTAAATGTGCGTTAATTTGAGCACATTTCGACTGCCTTAAAACAATATTAGCCAACTGGACGAACACATTTATCTTGTTTTAAAAAGATACAAAAAATTTCTCCCTTGGAATGAGAAAATACAGCAACAGTTCTCAAAAAAAGACTAAACGGCTTTGTCCCATTGTCAAATCATCAAATACATTTTGTCAAATTTGAGCAATTTTTGAATGTCAGAATGCACTCAAAGTAAAATAAAAACCACTCAATTCAAGCAATTATTACCTCATATTTTATCTTTTTTTTTTAAGTGTAGGGAGACAAGAGAATATTTCTTGTCCCATTGACAACTCTTATTTTAAGGCAGTCAAATTGTGCCTTATTTTCTACAACTTTTTGCAGTGATATGCAAATGCCAAAATCAGTGTCCACTCTTCTGTGTCGCTCAGCTGCTCCTATTAGCTACCTTTCAAACAAATGGTATAATTGCATATTTTTGTGTTTTGTACCATCTGTTTTTTGTCCATTTGCCTTCATAGTCATTAATTTGGTTGGAAAACTCGCTGCGTTCAAAAAAACAAGCTTTAAATCCCAGCAGTGGTTGCCTCAATCAGAACAAGTCTAAACATGAACTCCAAGAATAGTGATAATAGAATTAATCAGAAATGAGAGAGACTAGAGACCAGAGATAGTGACCAGAGAGGGACACCCGAGAGCGACACCAAATTGTGTTATGAAATTATTCAGGTCAAAACAACAATAAAAAAAATACAGAAAACTTCTGACCCGTTTCTGATCAGGGAGCAATCTTGTCACATGGTCAACAGCTCCATAAAGACAATTTTGCAAATGATTTCTAAATGAAATGCAACAATATGAAGTCAGGGCAGACGTCAATTGCATGACAAAGACCTGAGGTCTATAATAGAGGAAAGCTGTTTTGTACTTCTATCGACCTTAATGACCCAGACTGGGAAAAGGTGTTACATGTAACCAAGGGCAGGGCTATTCTAGTCAGGAAAACTTCTCCCAAGGCCAAAATAAACTAGGCCTGTATTCATTTCAACAGATTGAAAAGGACTACTGCATAACAAATTGACCAATGAGGGGTTTGTATGGTCAATCCAGATTTATCTTTTCAAGTTTGACTGACAGATGCAAATGGTAGCAACAGTGCCCACCATTTGCATCCTGAAGAAAGCCAAGCTAGGCCAAAATGCGTTGGGGCGTATTTTAAATTACAGCCATGAGAAAATAAGGGCTTTTTCACTCTCTAAACTATTGACCACAAGTGCATTGGATTTTTTTACTTTCCAAGCTCTTCATAACTTGCCTTTACCTAGAAAGTCAACACTCCACTTTTTGGCACATACTGGTTGCCACACTTCTGTCAGCGTGCCCCAGGGCAGCTTTGGCTACACAAGTAGTTTATCACCACTGTGTATGGAGTGAATGAATATGGACTTGTGAAGAGTCTCCAAGTGTGTCCAAAAAAGTGCTGATTAAAATCCATGCATTATTATTGTAAAGAAACAAAGGACAGGAGAACATGAACATCAATGAATCCAGTTAATTTATACATATAATATATATATGTGGAAGCTTTGTTTATAAATCTGTGGATATTTTTGAAGTTTTATAAAGTAAACTAAATGATCACTGACTTTTCCGAACAAATAACAAACACAACTTTACCAGTCCGGTTTAAAGATTTTAGGGTTCATTGTTTTTTGACTAAAATGTATGTTTTTGTTATCCTGAGAAATGTTGTTAGTGAGATATAACATGGTAGCATAAGCCAGATGTGAATAACACCTAAAGGCCAAGAAAAAACGGTCAAAAATCAACTCAATATATTGTCAGAATGCGGTTGGTCTCTACAGGGTAACAGTCAAATATCTGTTAAAAGTAGGGATGTAAAAAACTATGAATTTTCATGACCGACCACCGAGCCTCATTAACCGGTTGAAACCGGTTAACCGCGTAGTTTAAAATAGTCCACGTTCTTTGAAATAACAGCCATTTCGAGCCGCGTACTTTTCATAAGTGCAGCTCTGCGTTCTACTGGATCAGAGTTGAGACAGCGGCGCCCAAACCCGCAACAGCTCCGGCACCTTTGCGCACAGAGAACTGCTTTTTTAATCTTCCCATTCTGCTGTGCTGCGGGTTAATACCAAAACTTTCTAGCAGCAAACGACGGCTCGTTCACATGGTCAGAGCAGCGAGTGACGAGCCGCGTCTCACAGGTCTTCACAAAAGTTTAAATACAAGTGATGTGTGTGGAGCTGATCCCGAGGACCATAAACACAAACATGTTCCATGTGGTTTGACTGGAGCCGCGTATTTGCGCGAATCCTTTGGGCTCCGTGACACAGAGGAGCGCGACAGACCGGTATGTGTGTGTGTATGTGTGTGTGTATGTATGTGTGTGTGTATGTATATGTGTGTGTGTGTAAATGTAAGCTCCAATGTAGTTCTGACCCGCGCCAGTGTGCAACTTTGACGGTAACAGAGGGGAGAGATGATGCGTGTGGATGTTACGTATGGAGAGGGGTAAAGTGTGTGTGTGTGTGTGTGCGCGTGCGTGTGTGCATATGTGGCTCGTGCGGCGTGAGAGTCGTCCCGGAGTTTATAATACATGGGCGCACACAGCTAGATACAGACCCGCTCGTCACACCGTGCAAATAGGGCTTAAAATAGCGTTATTAAGAGACCTCCCCTCTCCCCTATTTCTCTTTTTTAACCGACAGCTTTGACCGGTTAACGCTGTGACGGTCAACCACCGGTTAAACGGTCGCCGATTTACATCCCTAGTTAAAAGAGAAAATAGAAGTGCTGTCCATATGATTAACTTTCATATTTTCCTCCTATGAACCGTTCTGGATCAAATAATACATCATTAAATTGAAATACTGGAAAAGAAACCATTTACTGTTATTGCCACCAGTTTTGCGACATAATCTTTGCTACATTCTTGCAGTCCTATAGTGCTAAGGGTGGATTTTCAGTAATTCTATAAGCTATTGGTTACATTTAACAGCTTTATAATCGATACATGTCCACGTTGTTTATGAAGAGGTCCGAGCAGGTCAGCCGTGCCTCATATCTGCTGCGAGTCCGTCAACCTCGAACAATATTGAATATCGACATTGCTATATGTTTGCATGAGTCTGTCGATAGATCCTGAGGTGAGTAATGGAGACCAGTTAGAGAAACCCCAGCTACTGATTGGCTTATTAAAACAGTAACATCCTCTTTCAAGCAATGACATATTGATTGGACATAAAAATCACTGAACGTAGATGTTAGGCTACATTCAACCCAGCTCTGTGCAGTGCTCTCATCTCCCTTATGAGTAATATTACAGCTACAGATCACAAGTTTTAACTGAGAAAAAATCCATAAATGCAATATGAGATATGTGATACATGGTTCATCAATAGAGAAAAGAGTCATGGTAATTACTATAGTGAGAAAATGGCAGCTGGAACAATGCGTTTTATGATTCACTATTTATTGCAGTGTTTCTCAACCAGTGAGCCGTGGGACGTTAGTGTGCCTTTTTGTATATTTTTGTTTCTTTCATAAGAATGCTGTTAATCTAATTACATTGTTCACATAATGATAAAAGCTACATTATGTCTTTCAACCTAGATATAAGATGTTGAGATGTTGTTTGATGTGCCTTTTGGAAATGATCCATTTTCACCTCATTGTTCCAAATCATGTGAAAACACAATAATGTGAAATTATTAGTAAGTAAGCAATGTTTATTCATATAGCAATTTTTTCAGACCAAGGTCACCCAAAGCGCTTTACAATGGTCAGAGTTCAGATATTTTTCCATTCTCTCTCCACTCACGGTGATGACAGAAGCAAGATGCCAAATACATATCTATTTTTACATGCTTTTAGTGGTAGGGGAAACCGAAGCACCCGGAGGAAACCTACGCAACATGCAAACTCCACACAGAAAGGCCTGGAAGTGGAATCCAACCCAGGACCTTCTTGCTGTGAAGTACTATAAGTTCTAACCGCTATGCCACCGTGATTAGAAATGTTGTTTGATTTTCTAAATCATACACTATATTGAGGTGAAGGTGACGGTACACAGAATGACTTTGCTTTGTTGATGAAGCTTGCAAAGTTAAATTTTTTGTATCCGTCATTTCCCCAGTACTTATATACGGCAATCAGTCTCTAAAGTGGCCATTTGTGTTTTAAGCTCTGCGTCGGTTTCAAATACCAAAACATTTTAGCATCAGTGCTGTAGGACACGGTACTAAAATACTAATAATCCAATTATAAGAACAATGTAATGGCACAGCTTCAAGAGAAAGCAGGGGCACAAAACAGATCAGCTTAAGCAGAAGATCCAAAGCCCACACATCTTTCTAAACAGAAATAAACAGCAAACAAACAGCATGAATAGAAAAGTATAAAAAGTGCAGTAGAGAAGTCTTTCATAGCATATTTGGAGATTTTAGTAACAAATGTAAAGTAATATGAAATTATTAAGTAAATACTTGCAGTAAGTCTCTAAAATTATGAACTATATGATACTACATGTGTTTATTTATCCAAGAACTTTCTCATAGAGCATACAGCTCACATTATATTAGCGTAGACTTTGTTTCAGGAGAAACATAGTCCAGGAGAAAGAAATACATTTGATTTATTAGAGCTGCTTTGAATCATCAGTGCTTTTTGAAATTCATGTTTTCAGTCATTATCAAGGCTTTGCCCATAGAAATTGCAAGCCCGATGTCTGTTTTTTGAAAAGGAAAATTCTCACTTAAATGTTTTGGACAGAAACAAAAACAGGATTATTCAAGGCATGTATTAAGGCTAGGCCCTGAGTGGGACGAGCCAACTGGAACCACCACGGTTCAAAAACACCCAAAAAACACATTTTAGCAGCGCAAAACAATTCCGTCTTTTAATGACAAGACCACAGAACGAACAACAAGTTTGCTCCTATCCCAATAATACCAAAAATGTCCAATTTGTAGGGAGGACTTGTATGCCCAGCTCTTGCATTATATATTATCAAAAATTAAGGCGATAAGACTAAAGAATCTCACACTGTCAGAACATAAAACTCCACTTCCCATTTGCCTGACTCCAGAAAATTCCGATCTACAAAAGGCATGGACTGATCACGCATGCAAATAATATTCAAAACAAATAAATTTCCAATTGACGGTTGAAAATCGTGGTGGAAATGGATGTTGCGCTACAGTCTTAAAACTTATTTCTGCATCTCGATAAGAAGCCAAGGGGGAGGAAAGCTCAAACATGCGACGACAGAACCCAAAACACTTATTATGTTGATGATTGTGCAGCCTACGTGAATCAAAACAGATATATTTTGTATTTAGATTTTTTAAAGGCCTTTTAAGGTGCATTTCACAACTGCATTGACAGATGAAAAGCTTTTTGCATAGGCCACCTGGGGACAAGAAAAAGCAAGTTTTAGTGCTGCCTGGATGACTCATTTGTTGCACTTTTGAGCATCGTCCAGAATATTGAATACAATTTAACATGTTTTGTTTTGTGCTTAGGTTAAAATCGAAAGAACATACAAAGCATACAAATCATCTAAATTACCTTAAATTGAGGAAATAAATATCATAATTTTAGTATTTTCCCAATGGAACAAGAATCTTTAGTCGTATATCGGGCAAAGGTCTTTTTTTTTTGGTAGTAGGGAATGGCTTGTTTTTGTTTGCTCCTATTGTCGCTTAACTACAATAATTTATTATAATAATAATTTTCTCAAAAAAATAAATAAAATATGTTAAATTACCTAAAGCTGGGCTACCGGACTAAATTTCCAGAATTATGCTGGCTATATCTTTAGAATGGAATAGAAAAAGCCTTTGGGTTGAGAGCTATTCGGCTTCTTCACTTTTCTCTCTTGATCTAAAGTATAGAGTTTTATAATGGATTGAAAGTTAGTTACCCCCGCGTTAAATCAAGCTTTTATACTTTTGTTTCGACAATTTTGTGCAATGTAATCTGTCTCTGCTATAGCTTATATTTAAACATTTTTTTTTTCAATGCAACACTGATTGATTTTACTTTTAAAACATGTACTGTGAATAACATTGCAATCAACAGCACTATGAGCCTAACCTCTGTTCATGCTGAATTTAACTTTGTAAAATGTAATTTGTACTTGCTATTTAAGGAAATCTTGAGTATCTAGAAAGGTGCCTAAGAAATAAAATGTAATATTATTATTATCATTATTATCAGAAAATCATCAATAAATACAATCGCAAATGGTGCCAAAAACCACACAGCACTAATTTGTCCTCAACAAAACATAACTAAAGTCAACAGAAAGAACCCAGCACACACGGCACTGGGCTCGTCCAGTGACCTTCTCCTGGTTCTGGGGGGTCCATAGGGAGACTGTGTGGGCTGGGTCTCTCACCGTGATGGGAAAACAGGTCGCTGTGGACGATGTCGATCATACAGTCCAGCTTCTGCTTGACCAGACGACCCAGCGGCACCTTGAGAATGAACTCAGTGAACAGCTTACTGCAAAAGACACACATGATTGGTTGGTTGGGAAATGGCAAAACACACAGAGGCACGACAGCGTGATAGAGGTAAACGAGATTGAGATTAGGATTAAGAGATGCTTTATTCATCCCACAGTGGGGAAAATTCCAAAACAGTAGAAATGAGGACGAGAAGATGAAAATAACTCTATACTAAATTAAAATGTAATCTCTAACTTTAGCGTATTAAAACAAAAGAAAAAAGGACCAGTCTATTCTGTACAAGTCAATTTATTGTATTTTTTTGTATAGCCCTGAATCACAACTGTCGTTATGTTGGAGGACTTTACGAAGTTCGCCAACACAAAATCAAACAGTTCAATCCTCAAGCTTCAGACTGGATTCACTTGAGGAAATGAGTGTGGCGCTGCTCCTGCTTGGTTGAACTGAAATCTTTGAAGACCTGGCCTGGGCACATTTGACCTCCAAAGGCGAAAAAGTTCTGTGTTCTCAATTGTTTAAGGAATTAGGCTAAAACAATTGTGAAGTTCAAGAACATATTCGACAAGCTCCAAGAATAACCGTGTGTCCTCTACATGAAATGGCGGTGACAGATGCAGCGGTACCTGAGTGAAGCCGAGGTTCCGCCCACTCTTCTAACGACACGAGTTTAATCAGCCTTAGCATCTGCGTGGGAGTGACGTTCTGAGCCTCAGAGCAAAACTTACCGTGTGTTTAAAGCGGCTTATTTTAAAATACTGTGTGTGTTTGATCATTATGAAAGGCTGTAAGACCTGTCTACAAGCACAGAAACTAACTATGTTTAAAAGTAACAGTAACATGTGGTGTGAAAGCTGAAACCTGTCACAAGTTTTTAGTTAAGATTAGTATTTTGTAATGGCTACCTTTCATGACATCTGGGGACTGTGACAATTGATAGCGTTGGGAAAAGTGTTGCCAGTCTGTAAGTATTTTCCTCATAGAACTGTATTGCTTGCCGATGCAGGAGGGTCTAATGATGATCCAGGACTCTAAACATTTATGGGCATTGGTCAACTGCTTCTTATGGACCAAGGGCTCTATGTGTTTTATCATTGAATGTCCTGTATTTGCACTGTTTGATTCTCTGATCTGTGTTGGTGAATCAACAGCTTTGTAAAGTCCTCCGAGATAACTACTGTTGTGACTTACAAAAATAAAAAAAATAATTGAATGAATGAATTGAGTTGAAAACAAATAAAGTAGTTTATGATCTGGTCTGAACAGGGCGTTTTAATTGGTTGATCTTGCACTTTATTGCTTTTTTGTATGTGCATATTTTGAAATGTTTTTTTTGTCTAATGTGCACACAAGCCATTCTTATAGTTAATATTTCCTACGTATTTATTCGTTTTTAGAGCTGACAAAAAAAGCAAATCTGAACAAATACACTTTTTGCTCAAAAAAGTCATCCCGCTCTATTGGTGATTTACAAATAACAATGTTAAATGAAATTGTGTGTGTGCGATAGTATTGTGCAGTATTTTATTCTATTCAAAATGTTTGCGAAATTCACTGTCAACCAATTTGGTGACGCTTTTTAACGTATATAAAACATCCCTTTGCTCTTTATGGGTTGAAATTTGGGTTCTCCTTTTATGTAACAAGCCTAAAACTCCAGGGGGAAAGGCAAAAAAAACGACAAGAGACAAAACACACACACAGCCCCAAGGATTCAATTAAACAGACACTCTTTACTACCGGCTACAGCAAAACCAGCTGATGCCACCAGAGAGACCACGTTCAACTCAACTCCAGTCTTGTTAAAAAAAATAAAAATAGACCAATTAAAATCCATGGACATAGGAAATATCTACAACATTTAAGATCAACTTTTTGGGATCATTACAAGACGCACTGTTCGTGAAATGGTCGTTACGCAAAGCTTTTCATGCACTGGGCTTCTGTATATATAGAGAATTAGCTTAACGTTTTTGGGGGTTTTTTGTGTCCTTCTAGTGAAAGAGCCAAAGGGGGGATCAAAAACAAGCCCAAATCTCTTTACAGAAAATGCCAAATTAGCAACTTCTATCAGCGCCAACTTTTCCATTTGGCTATGATTGCATCCAGTCTGCAAGCTCTACAACTTTTATATGACAATTTAGGATTTCTTAACATTTCTGGACATAAGTCATTCACTCCCTATGGACAAATGGCTCCTATGTGTTTGTTATGAGTGCATTCCCTGTTGAACTGTTTGATTCTCTGATCTGCTGTTGGTGAATCGAAGTCCTCCGAGACGACCGCTGTTGTGCTGTAATGAGCTGAATTGATAAAACCCATTACAGGTTATATTTTAATTCTAATTCATAAACAATACTTGCGGTGTATATCAATTTGTAACTTTGCAATGGAGTGGTTGTGAGTATGCATCTGAAGGATCAAAATTCATACGTTTGTGATTTTGGATTTAGCCAATTTTTTATTGAAATATGTAAGAAATGAACAAATCCGAGCCACTAAATAATAAATACAAATCCTTTAACGAACAGGAACTAGCCTATGGCAACTCAAGATTTTGTTCTTTTCCCGCATGTTGCTATTGTGTTTTTTCACTGCTGATCGTGATTCTTAAACCTTTATTATAATAAATACAAAATTGCAGGCCCATTTTGAATAGGATTTGTATAGTCATCCTTGAGGCTTTAAGAAAGGCAAAAGGAAAAATAATCCAAAACGCCTCATGAATCCATCCATCCATTTTCTTACGCTTCATCCATTACCTCATTAATCCATATATGAAAATGGCTACTATGTTATGCATAATAAATCTATGAAAAGGCAGTGACATTACAAACACAGTGACACAAGGACAAGTTCCCACCTGAGCTCTTTGGCGTCGAAAACAAGCTTGACATCATTCACGATTGTGGGGAGATACTTCAGTGCGGCGCCCTGAGGAAACAGCAAGATGTAGGTTAGGAAGTAGGAACATCAGGAGAATGTGTTTTGACAGCGAGAGATTATACTGAATGCACTTGTCCATGGTTGGGGTGCAATCCTGGGCACATTGATCTATTCCGGTGCTTCTCAAAGCGGGATCCGGGGTCCCCTGGAGGTGCTCAGAAGGAAGCATGGACATTATATTAGAGCGGACTGACGGGAATGCTAAAGTTACCCATAGTGTTAGCCTTTTTTTAAGTTAGCTGGAGCCAATTTGCTAACATACTGCAAAAAAGTGAGTAAAAAAATGCTCAAATTTGGCAAAATGTATCTTAATTTGAGCACATTCTGACAATGGGACGAGAAAAATGATCCTGTTTTAAAAAGATACAATAAAGGTCTCTCTTGGAATGAGAAAATAAAGCGATAGTTCTTGAAAGAAGACTAAATGGATTTGTCCCAGTGGAAAATCTTGTTTTGTCAGAATGTAATCAAAATAATACAAATAAGAAGTTTTTTTGATAATTCTTTTGCAGAGTATGCGCATTTATTCCGTGGGGCAGATGCAAACTAAAGTGTTGCTAAGATGGTTGCAAAGGCAAGCTGGAGTTTCCCTCGCGAATGAAGGCATCTGAACGGTCAACCTGTATCGGGGGTGCGTCAAATATTAAATACTACATAGAAAACACTTTTTACTAATTGAAAAAGGCAATTTTAGTCTACTTTTCACAATAAAAACATCACATATGTAGGGGGCCCAGAGCTATTTGATTTTATGGAAGAAAATGGGATAATAAAACATTTTAAATATGTGTCACTGTAAAACAAGAAAGACGGGATTAGTGTAATGATTTAAAAACAAGCACACAAACAGGTAGTGCATGGTAAGTCAGTGTAAGAGCTAAGGAAATAGAAAATACATTACAAAACACACAATTAGTTGAAGTAGGAGATATAGAAGAGATTATAATTATGGTGGATTAAATAAACTTGTCAAACGCACTCCTTTAAGTCGGCCTCTCTGTGGAGTTAGAGAAGGCTGGGTTCTTGATTGTGTATTGTGAAATTTCTGGTGTAGGGGATTTTAAGTACCATCCAAATGAAATATAACAAAGGAAATGTCGCATAAATCATAATCATGGTCTCAACTCTTTGACTTCAAGCCCTCTTTAATCACATAATGCAGTAATCGCAAGTGGGCACCATGACAGAACACAGAGGCTCAGGTTTGACTCTGACGGAGAAGAGGCACTTGGAAATCTAAATGACTTGTGTGAACAGTGGCCAAGATTGAGGCGAGCGCCAACGTCTGGGCACATCAGGGTCTGCGCCAGGTGCTCCACGTTCATTACAGATACAGGTGTTGCCAGAGGATAGGTCAAGCTGTCATTGCAATGATATGTGGGAAAGAGAATTTAGATGTGAGCCTCCAGTGACTGTTCTGGTCTCTCCTGTGATCAGTGTGGGGACCATGGGTAAGGTGTATGTTGTGAATTGGTAAAAATGTGACGATGTGTCGATATAATTCAATAATTATTTAAACCACAGCTCGATTCTTCTGTTTTATCAAATTTTAGACCTGTGTCAAATTTGTCTTTTATCTCAAAAATTCTTGAGAAAGTACTTTTTATGCAGCTACAAATGTTTTGAGAATGCAATTCAATTCTTGAAAATTTTCAATCTGGGTTCAAAACAAGACATAGTACAGAGTCTGCGCTGTTGCGGGTACACAAGGATATAACCCTGTCTGTTGATGCTAAATGCCCTGTTGTTTTAGTGCTTCTTGATCTAACAGCAGCATTTGATACTGTTGATCACCCTGTTCTTTTGTCCCGCCTGAAACATCATTTTGGCGTTTGTGGTGCTGAACTTAGGTGGTTCCAATCATATCTCAGAGATCAAACATTTTCTGTAATGATTGGTGATCTGTCCTCCTCAATTGCTTCTTTGACGTGTGGAGTACCTCAGGGTTCTATTTTGGGCCCCATGTTGTTTTCTCTTTATATGTTGCCACTGGGGTCCAGTATCGCACGCCATAATTGTTCATTTCACTGCAATGCAGATGATCTGCAAATAATAATAATAGCTTTATTTATAGAGCACTTTAAAAACAACACAATTGACCAAAGTGCTGAACACAAGTAAAAACACAATATAATATAGAAACATATACAAATCTATCTGCCCATTTCATCCATTAGGAGTGATGCTGTACAATGTCTAATGGCCTGTATATCTGACATAAAACAGACAGGCTTTTAATACTCATAGCACGGCAACACTTTAGTTTCTCATGGTTTTATCTGACTGTTTTATTGTATGAATGTTTTTAACAGATTTTATTGTAAAGCACTTTGGTCGCCTTGTGTGTTTTAAAGGGCTCTATAAATAAAATTTGATTGATTGATTATGGCAATATTTGGGAAACAATTCAATATTATTGTGATTCATGTCCCTCATTACAAAACTGAAGAAAAAAAAATCTCAATTTAAATGTCACATTTGTGAAGTGTTGCTGATCTTTTCCATCTGCGGCTTTATATTAGTTATAACCTTTTACAATATCAGACGTATTTTGAGGACATTTTAATTATATTTAATATGGATATTATTTTCAGTTGTCTTTGGATTTAGATTTGCCGTGGATTGAACCAAAACTGGACTAAAGCTGGAGAAGGCTAAGTATTGTGGACAGAAGTTTTTGATGAATTGAGATTTTGATGAATGAGATTGAACATGCCATCGCACTCATGAAGTTGCAAACCTTGAGTATTGATTCCCATTTATTCAAATAGGGGGAGACGGCCCACAGTTGGGGAATCAGAAAAGGTTTGAGTAAAAAATGGAGAAGACTCCCAAGAGGTCCGAGGGCCACATGGAAATCTGAATCGGGCCGTATTTGGCACCCGGACCACACTTTGCCTTGGTCTGCACTAGATTGTATTACACATGTAAACATACAAATCTATATTTCTTGCACTAGATTACACTGTATTTTACACTTTGCTTCTTTATTAAGCCTATGATTGAGACTTTATTTTTTGTAAGTTGTGACATAATAATAATTACTTCTCTTGTGTTGTGTGCTCCTCCGTTACTGATCTGTAACTTGTGATGCAACTTCAATTTTACTACTGCGGGAAAAATAAAAGATCTCTTCATCTTAATCCTTCGCTCAGTTCAAATAGTGTTGAATATAAATCTGCTGTAAAAAGTCTTCTTTTGATCACTCCTGAACGAACCCGGGATTATGCCACCTAAGCTCCGTATCTGTGAATAATATCCGTTTTGTCGTGCAGATTTTATTTGGCCATTTTAATCTATTTATTTATTTCGAGCTTATAAAACAGCCATCATTGTAGTAATTTACAGTGTTATACAACTGCATAATACAAAAATAAACACATATATACATACACAAATCATATGTATACATTATAGACTTTTCCTTTGTTTACTCATTTTTTGAAATAAATCATTCCAAGGGGACTGGGCGATGTCATATCGGTATACATTTGAGGGATGAGACTGAAATACTGCGATGGTATTTGGCTGCATACGCTACGTCACACTTTCAGTTTACTTTTTCTTGGAGCGTGTGCATCAGATTGTGGGTGTTGTAATCTGGTTTCCCTTGTCCCAGACCAATGAGCTGCAGCCCCTCATTTATTAACATTTGGACCAACGTCTCCTATGTGCTTGTTATCATTGCATTTCCTGCGTTCGAACTGTTTGATTCTTTGATCTGTTGTTGGGGAATCCGTTGTGATTTAGGGCTAAAACAATGATAAATGGACTTGAACAGAATTGAATTGGGGTCTCTATAAAGGTTGATTGATTGCTCGAGTCATCAGCAATGAGGAAGAAAACAATTCGAGCTCTGAAAATTGTGCAAGGTATTGTTTGGTCAATTATTACAGGTGATTACAGTTACAGTTGTGTGAATGAGGCCCTTGACAAGAAACTCTGCATGGTGATATTGTTAGAACATTTGAGACAATGCGATCCAGCAGAGCTCTGGAACTGTCCGACAGAGAAAGCTGATAACACGAACAATGAGTAATGCAAAACAGTAGGTGCCGCTGAGAGCCGAAAGCCTTTATGCCAGCATGCCCTTGCACATCTAATAGATTCAAAGCCATACGTCTTCTCTGTATCGAGTGTCAGACACATCCAGCTAAAGTGGACACGAGTTTGCAGGCGGAAAAGTCATTTTGAAGAGACTTTATTTTTCCGAGAGACAAAACTCACACCTGTCTGCGGATGTGCATTATTAGTTTGGTCCACCGACAGAAGAAAAGGTTAGAAGTAAAACGCTCGTCAAATGTTGGAGCAAAAAATGATTCAGAACAGCGTTTAAAGCAACACAAATAGTCCTGTGTGGATAAGTCAGTTCTGAGACTTCCACTTAAACCAATCCATTCACCGTGTATATATATATATATGTTGAGAATTCACTACTCTTAGACATAGTGACAATAAAAAGTATGTCTTTTTATTACAGGTAATTACAGTTACAGTTGTAAAAAGTATGTCTTTTTATTGGGTCAGATTACAGTTTCAAAGTATTTTTATATAGCCCCCAATCACAACAGCAGTCGTCTTGGAGGACTCTACAAAGTTGACAATTCACCAACAACAGATCAGCGAATCAAACTATAAGAAAACAGGAAATGCACCTTTGTAAAGTCCACCGTAACCTCATCTACAAACTTCCTTCCACAACATTTATTGACTATTAAAAATAAATGTTTTACTAATAACATTTATGGAAATTTTCTCCTTATGATTCAAAGGCTCCATGTGTTTTAAATCATTGCATTTCTTGTTTTCATGTTTAATTCTCTGATCGGTGTTGGCAAATTCAACGGCTTTGTAAAGTCCTCTGAGATAACTCGGGCAATACAAAACCTTATGCAGAACCTTTCCTTATCAAACCCAACATTCTTGAGTTTTTAATACATGTTCCCCAAGATCAATTTTTAATTTCCTGCCATTAAAGCGAATATCTCACCCAATTACACAGCAACTGCCTCCTAATTGAGTCCTGAGCTCCGTATGGCCTGTGTGCTGATCTGGCGCGGCCACGGTTCATGTGCCCAGAGATTATGTTATCTCTGAGCGTAGAGCACCACGCAGCAGAAAACTCATCACAAAAAAATATATTTATATAAAAGTTAGCAGGAGTTGGTTGTGGGCAGAGCCTCCTACAACTATAGGAGTCTCATGGGAGGCAGAACTAACCCTAGAAGAGCTATTATGGTTGCATGAACGAACAGAAAACCCCAGGTATGTTGGACTTGGAGAACTATGGTGCATTATTTATCACCATTTGAAAAAAAAAAAAAAAACACCTTGCCGTTTTATCTTTAAGAATGTGAATTATTATTGTAAAATAATAATAATATATGTATAAAATAAATGGTGAAACAAGTATCAAGGGTAAACAATGCTAAAAACCACTTGTTTTGATGAGGGAAAAATGTTGCAACATGGTAAAAAGCTCAAGACAGTTGATTTTCATAAGATGGCTACTTTAACTTTAACTTTCTGAAAACTCAAAACAATTTCCACAATCGAAAAATTGGAACCTGTCTATTTCAACTGCATAAACATATCATGACTATTGTCTTTGCCATTGGGTTCAATTCACTCTAATGGGACTGTATCATATAAGCAAATATCTGAAATGGCGAGTGCAGAAGGAAAAATGCCAGATATTGTAACGGTTGGGAATAAACACACACACAGAACATCCCTATAGTGGATATTCCCAAAAATTAAGACAAAATTTACACAAATGTGATCAAATACTTGCATTTTGTACTCTAATTTTCAATAATCAAACCTTGGTATTTTCTCTCCAGCTGTTGTTAGGTTATGGCAAACACAAGGTTAGTGATCAGGGAGCAGGAAAACCCAAACAGAGCGTGGTGTAAATACCTTGAGGAGAAGCTAAAGAGGAGAGAGCCAGAGGAACAGCCGCAGGACACAAAGTGAAGGAATCAGGACAAAACAAGGAGAGAGAGAAATGTGACAAGACAGGAAATACAAATCAGAAGCAAAACTACAGCTATCAAGCGCAGAAGACATGTTTTTAAAATGTGTGTGCCCTGTCTTAGAGTGTAAAGAAAATATCCATTATTTGAGTTCAGTTTGAGCATTGAGGAAAGAGAGTTTAAGTAGAAATTACACAAACAAACTTGAAAAATGAAAAAAGATACAGGATGAGAACTCTAGTCTTATATTTATTGTTATATATTTTCAGTATTTAGTATTTATATATTTTGAATTGTTGCATTTTTTTGTATGTGTGTGCTTTTTCTGATCCAGCTTTTAAACATCTATCCTAGAGCAATCTATTTGACGGATGGCAGAACAAGTCAGTCAGAATGTGCTCAAATTAAGATACATTATGCCAAATTTGACTTCTGTCTCCATCACTTTTTGCAATGATGAAGACAGAAGGGACGTAGGGACAAGTTTGCGCTAGTCAGAAGTTCCTAATATTATCGTAAACGGAGCTAAAACAACTCCAGGTCGGTCTTAGATGCGGGAAATATTGTTGTAACCTCAATTTTGCGTCATAAATCTTCTTTGACACTAGCACCAGCACCATTGCACACAGAATTGAGTTGGTACTACATGTAGCAGACGTGTGGGTGTGAGTTTTCAGCCAAAGCAAATAACAGATTGTATTTACTTCTGGCTCCAACAGTTTAGTCATCACAGATCACGAGAAAGCGAGAGAGACAGAGAGCAAGAAAGAGAGAGAGAGAGAGACAGACAGAGAGGGACACGTACCTTCACCATGCCTGTGTTCTCCGCGCCGCTGTTCATCATGTTGTTAAAAGACGTGAAGAGGTGGCGTAGAGACTCCATAAAGTCGGCCTCACCTTTGTTTTCATACAACCTGAGAGACAGAATGCATACATGCAAGATTATGGCCCTATATCAATGCAAGAATGAGTCAAAAAGAGGCAACTTGTCTTTTCAGTATTGTGAAGATTGGAATTATTTGCACAGAAATTCCAACGATTTGTCTGTGGCACATTTTGACAGCCTTCTGAAAGAAATTGCTCTGAGCCAGGACACCCTTGAGTTTGGTTTATAAAAGGTAAAAAGCGAGAGAAAGCTGTATGTGGTCTTGTTTTTTTTCAGTTTTAATTCTAGGTCAGTATGTTGCTGGTTCAGATAAAGTCAGATGGGCGGCACCGTGGTTAGTACTTGTGCTTCACAGCCTTCAGACCTTTCTGTGTGGTGTTTGCATGTTCTCCCAGTGTCTGCATAGGTTTCCATGGGTGCACTACTAATAAAAACAGATACAATAGTCCTCCGTAACTGTGATTGGTTGTTTCAGTGATAAAATATTTAGAAGGTTTAAAAAGTCTTTCTTTTGTTTAATAAGGTTGAATTATTCATGACTAGCTTCTTTACACACTTTGTCTTAACCCTTTGGTGGAAACATTCATAAATGGGAGCGCCAAATAGAATGTCTGTCCCCACATGAGATACTCTTGCTAGTAAAAGCCAAATCCAGCGAGAAGGCGGCTCCTGCTGGTCATTTGTTTGGGCTCATACCTGGATTTACAAAAACAAAATCACAGGATAAACACCAGGATCAAAGAGAGCGCCAAACCATGGATTTAAAAGCCCAAATTCATGTGTGTGACACAAAAAAAGTTATTGAGCTAAAGCAGTTTAGTTTTAATTGTAAGTCAATAGGAGCCAGAGACAATAGAAGCTAAACCATAACCAGTTCCCTATTGGAGTGCATTGAGCTAGCAGGTTAGCATCATCCGTCTATTTACAGTCAATGGTCAAAAGCAAAGGACTAATTTCTCTACCGGGATAATAAAATATACCTAAACCATAGATTTATCTACCTAAAGCTCTACAACACTGGCATTTCGCCGCAGTGGGAAGAGTAAACGTCGTCTTATCTAGGGGTGAAGGCCGAGGTCACATTTACCCCTGTATTTCCCCCCCAAGTGAAACTGTAGCCGAGTCCAGCTTCTGTTCCTGTTTTTGATGTGGTAAACATTCATTTAGAGATGGACCTTGACGCTTCAAATTTGCAAATCACTGGACTGGAGTTTGGTGGAGCGTCGGTGCTAAATGATTGAAAACTCAGCCAACCGCCGCAGCCAATGCAAATAGACTTGGATGAAACAACACGGACATCACTCTAGCAGCAAACCTGATTAGAATTTAAAACAAACGCGACAAGATCCCAGCGCACCTGCCTGCATTGTGGAAAGTGTGGGGGAAAAATGAAAATTAATAAAATATGCAAATGACTACAACAAATGTCACTGAACAGCTCAACAACTAAAGTATTCTCTTTAGGCTTTGAAAAACAAGTGTCGTCTAAGCTTACTTCTATTGCAAGAAAGCTTTTCATTTCAAACGCACATAGCATAATATGCATTTTCAGCTAAAATCGGTCTGAAATGCAAATTCTCTTTATCCCACTTCCGCAAACAGAATATGAACTGTTAAATGAGCCATGCAGTCTTCATTGGACTGTAATTACATATTCCAAAACAGGCTTGCATTTAAAACAAGATAGAAAGAGCATCTTCACTAAAGGATGTCTTTTGTGAAAGTAACCAAGGTTGATGCAGCAACTACACTTGTGTTATGTTTGGCTACATGCAGTTAAAAAACATTGTAAAAATGTTGCCTTAGGTATGAACTGTGCCATACAAATGCACTTGCAAGATAAAGAGGGGCAAGATAAAGCCCCAAAGACCAACTCTTCTTCCACTTAAGTCTTCTCGGTAAATTGGCAAAAAGATTTTTCCTCTCAAAGTTACAAGTTAATACTGTATTAACCAAAATGCGTGTTATTGATGTAAAAAAATACTGTGTTAGGGCCCTTGATCAAACAGTTTTTCTACATGAGAGACCGCTGCACTAAGTTACAGATTAGATACGATAAGAATTCAGTTTTGCAAAATGCATTTAGTGGACCTTGACGCGGCAATTTAGCAAATCTCTGGACTGGAGTACGTGGAGCTTCAGTGCTAAATGATTGCAAACTCAGCCAACCGATGCAGTCATGGTAAAAACAGTTTTGTCAGTTATTTCAGTAAATATTGATTCATTAGACAGGCTGAGAGGGAAATATTTCAAGATTAGTTTTCTTTCACTTAATGTAATGACTGTATAACATATGGCATTGTTTCCATATATGCAGTACGTTGATGTAGCCTTTCTGTGTGGAGTTTGCATGTTCTCCACGTGGCTGTATAGGTTTCCTCCAGGTTCTACGGTTTCCCCTACCACTAAAGACATGTACAATAGATCTGGATGTAATGAGAGTGTGAATGGATGGCTTTGATGCATGATGAGGAAACATTGTGTTCACACCACCCTCAAAAGTATGTGTATCTCCCAAGCAGGAATAACAGTGTGGAATGACCTAAATAAAGACACAAAACAGAGCAAAACACTAGTACACTTTAAAAAAACATGTAAAGACATTATCATTAAAAATTATGCTAGTGAAGTATCATAATTACTATTATTTTCACAGACAGGCACACACTCGCGCTTTTTTGTTGTTGTTATGGGGTTTGCCCGTATATGAGGATTGAGGTATTGTAGAGAGGGATGGAAAAAAAGAATTTAAAAAAAATAAAATAAAAAAGTCACTAAAACCGAACGTTTACACATGCATAAGTTCAATGCATTGAGTTTGTAAAAAATGTGTCGATTTCAGTCAGATGAAGTGATGTTGCAATATAATTGCTATACATATTAAATACCATATGGTGTATTTATTTTTGTAAAACTGTAAATGATAAATCCTTTATTTATTTTGTACGACTGTAAATGAAAAATCCTTTGTGATTTTTGTGTTACTTGAATGAGAGATAAGGGGTAGGTTTATTATAAGTTCTTTGAACTTCTTCCTACTCCTTTTGAGCACAATAGTCTTGTTTTGTTTTCTTCTGTAAAATGTTTTAAATAAGTTTCTGCTCAAATAAATAAATGAAAGAAAAAAAATAAAGAAAGAGTGCGTTTGTCATCACTGTGTGTGGAGTGACTAAAAAAAATGTCGGTACTCTAAAGCGTTTGCGGAAGACAAATCAAGGTAATACTATTAAGTAAGTAGGTAATGTTTGTTTATATAGCGCATTTTATAGACCAAGGTCACCCAAAGTGCTTTTCAATGTTCAGAGTCCAGATATTGCTCCAATCACTCCACCCACAGTGATGAGGGAAGAGAGTCGCCGAACACACTGGCGCATCAAACCCTCCAATCAACACCATCCATTCACTCTTTAATTTACATTCATACCGATTGTGCATATTTTTTGTGATAGGGGAAACCGGAGCACTACTATCGCTAACTTACATTATTTATCTTGTATTAAAGACCAAATTACTTGTTGTGTAACTCAAAAACATTGTAAAGTGTTTTGTGTGACCTTGGTCTCAAAACTAACTCAGTAGGTAAGTAATTTTTGTTGTTTTCTGTGTCTGTGTTGATCTGGACCTTGAGTCTGCAAATAATGTTATATATCTATCTATCTAATCTTTATTTATCCAGCTTAAGTCCAAGAGTTAAACAAAATGCAGTTTGATTGCTTTGAATGATTTTTGCCAAAGCGGATTTAGTCTTATTTCATCCATTGATAAGATACAATAGACTTTATTGAACTCACAATGGGGAAATTTACAAGTCCTTCGAGCCTTTGCGGTGTGCTCACAGTTTTTGCACGAGTAAAACCAGACCTTTTATGCTCTATGCTAAAACATTCAAATTAACACAGCAACTACTTATTAAACTTTAACTTTATTGGAAACTTTTGCAGCGGTGAAGAAACAAAGTTCACAAAGACTAGTGTGATTGAATATTCGTATTATTGGACCAAATCACAGCTGAAATTGTGCAGTTTCACATCTTTCTCCGAGAGCATTGTCTGATATATTCATGGTGTAGACTGAACAAAGCAAAAAGTTTCCACTATTGCGCTTTCGGCCATTTTGCTCTGCCCCATTGTCTGGGAATAGTGTCCGGAGAAGGCTTTAGGATTTAGGGGGATCACTCTCAAAAGCTCCGACAAAACAACAATTACTGAAACTTGCCCCACACCTGCTGCAGAGAGGAGAGGGGAAGAGCTACTACAAGTCTAAGCCAAATGTGGGAATCCATATTAAAAATTTACTTTAGTAGTGTCTTTTCGTTTTGAATATATTTGCATTATTATCTCATTGTGAAGAATAGGAGAGCCTATATATATTATTTTTCTTAAAGCGATTAGTGTAAAAGGCATCATAAGCATGTTTTTGTGTGTGTTAGAAACTTCAATTCAGGTCTGAGGGATAAATACAGACTCTAATGAATTCACAAAAAGATCATGTTGTGTAAGCCAGCAGTGAACCACGGAGCCAAGCGGCTTCCAGGAGCAAAACCAAAAACCATCAATGAACAGTCACTGTGCCAAAGATGACAAGGGCTGGAGTTGAAAGCAAGTCGAGCTGGTTTCCCCAAAAGGACATTAGTTTAAATAACTCTTCAACCTCCCTCCCTGGTACTTGTAAAGAGTATATAAAGGACTTCTGAAATAATGTAAAGGAAGATGGGTCGCCTGCGCTGTCCGAGCCTGATGTCTGGGTCCACTATGTGCACATAGAAACTTCTCTTCATAAATGTTAGTATTTGTTCTTATGGTAATTCTTTGGGCAGCGGAAGAGTGGTTAGCGCTTGTGTTTCACAGCAAGACGGTCCTAGGTTCAAATCCACCTCCAGGGCTTTCCGTGTGGAGTTTGCATGTTCTGTTCCGTGTTTTGGCTCTTCATAAAGACAATGATTATGCAATGTCCATCAAATATTCTAAACTGTGTTTTATCAATGAGATGGAAAAGGCTTTAGAATTTAGGGGGATCACTCTCAAAAGCTCCCCCAAAACAACAATGACTGAAACCTGCCCCACACCTGCTGCAGAGAGGAGGCCATTGTGTCATTACCGTGCTTACTCCAGCGTTTTATCGCAATGTTCCACGGGGCCCCACAATGAAAAGCTTGCTGATCTGGCCCTGGCACGCTCTCGCCGACGCTCTCAACCACCTCCGGGCCAATGAAAGTTCACTTTTATTTGGGACGCACACCCGATTGCGTATACAATGGTAGGAAATCTTGCAGCAGCTAGCAGTAATTGAGTAATTTATTGGCACAGGTTTTGAGACCAATGCACTCACAGGCTTAAGGTTTGGCAGAGTAACAAGCATATTTACTCGGGTGGCCCTTAAGTCAAATTGGACGTTGGAGTTTTTTTTTGTGTGAAAAAGTTCTCAACACGGTATTTTGTTGGGCGGCACGGTGGCTGAGTGGATAGCACTCTCGCCTCTCAGCAAGAAGGTCCTGGGTTCGAATCCCGGTTGGACCAGGGCCTTTCTGAGTGGAGTTTGCATGTTCTCCCCGCGTCTGCGTAGGTTTCCTCCGGGTACTCCGGTTTCCCCTACCACTAAAAATATGTACAATAGGTCTGGCATGTGCCTCCTGTTCTGGCACCCCCACTCCCAAAAAAAAAAAAATAACAATTGTAAACCGCTTTGAGACTCCGATGTGCAGTGAAAAGGCGGTATATAAATAAAGATCACAAAAGATCACAATTTTGTGCACTACTTATTCAGATATATCTTTCCAAATCCTATTTCATCATTTTAACATCAGATAAACTTACAGTACAGAACAAAAGTTTGGACACACTTTCTCATTGAAGGAGCTTCCTTTCTTTTCATGCCTACTGACTGTAGATTCACAACCAGGCTGTGTAAGGACTATTTGACCAATAAGGAAAGTGATGGGTGCTGGGTCAGATGACCCGGCCTCCACAGTCACCGGACCTGAACCCAATTCAGATGGTTTTGGGGTGAGTTGGACCACAGAGTGAAGGCGAAGGGGGCAACAAGTGCTGAGCATCTCTGAGAACTCCTTCAAGACTGTTGGAAGACCATTTCAGGTCATTACCTCTTGAAGCTCATCAAGAGAATGCCAAGAGTGTGTGAAGCAGTAATCAGCGCAAAAAGCGCTACTTTGAAGAACCTATAATATAAGACATATTCAGCTGTTTCATACTTTCTTTAAGTAGGTACATAATTTCACATGTGTTGATTTGTAGATTTGATGCCTTCAGTGTGAATCTATAATTTTCATAATCATGAAAATAAAGAAAAATGAATGAGAAGGTGTGTCCAAACTTTTAGTCTGTACTGTAAATCATTCTTCTTACTTGAGTAGAGGAGATCCCCCAACATTTCCATTTCTGCCCTTGCATCAAGGTGCATTGATTTAGCTAACCACCTTATATCTACTGTATATAGATAGGCAATACTAACCCACCAGCACAAGGAAACCCAAAAGGGAAGTGCTCATGGACAAAGGTTTGGTCACTGACTTGCATTGAAAAGGAAACTCCTCTAGCCAAGTAAGCGTGTTGTTCTAACCATTTATATGGTTTAGCTTGGTGTTTATATTGTTATATTTTCTTTTTATATCCAGATATGAGCCCTAACAACTGACCAATCAGGAGCCTTCTGTTGCAAAATCAAACTAGTGAGTATTGTGAGAGGGGACTGACCGGCTTCGCTCCTTTTTGTGCTAACTCTAAACGGCCTCTTCCACATTATCCCAACATTCTCAGTATCGTCATCACTCAGTCAAGAAAGAATACTGTCTTAATGTTTACTTCATGTAGAGAAGATCAGACTGTATATCCAGATAAGATATTGGTTTTCCATGACCCTCTTGCATTGAGAAGACTTCAGGACGACACTCACTGGTTGAAGAGGACCCTGGAGCGAACAATAAACTTAAAGATGTACTCCAGTGCCTTCATGGCCTTCAGCAGCTGCTCCGTCAGTTTGTCTGCATTGTCCACGTAGTTCTTCAAAACTTTGGTCAGCTTCCTACGGACATACGTACAAAAATATATATATATAAAAATCTATATCATGACATCTGTTTGCTTTTAAGGCATATGGGAATATCTATACTCAAAATTCATTTAAAAATTTATTAGTTTTGAGTGCATGTATTAGTTTAGCATATAATAAATTAAAATGCATTAAATATTTGTGGTGTTACACTTTGACTCACGTGTAAGCCAGGGTCGCGCTGAAGTGCTTCCGGATGTAGGTCTCCAGCACTGGGTTGAAATGCTGGAACTTTCTGTCGGCGATCAGCCCAATGATGAAAACCTGTAAATTATCAAACCACAATCCTCATGATTCAGAATAGAGGAGCGACTTGTCTTTTCAAAAATGCAGAACTAAATGACAGATTGAAGTGAACATAAAATGAGACTTTTGACACAGCTTTTGACAACTTTATAGTTGTTTTTCATAGTCATTTGAGTGATTTTAGAGTGAAATCAAGTCGTGTTTGAGATTATTCTACAACTGGGACTCTGCTGCCCACACTGACCAGCTTTGAAAATGTGTTTGCAGATTTACTTTTCAGAGTTTGCAGATGATACCATGAAAGAAAAATACTTTTTGCCAACTTAATCTGGGGTTTGAGCAGAGCCTTTGATAGGACCAAGATTACATTGCATAAAAGGGTGAAGTGCAAAATGTTGGAACTGAAAACTAAGGTGGGCCAGGAAAAATCTTTTATAACATTGATTGACATTAGCACTGAGAATGTAAATATGATAAATAATAAGCCACGAGTGTCATGAGGCGTTTTCGTACAGCAGACTCAAAGTATTTTTACATGTGTGGACCCGGGACGACAGTGAGAAAGGTTTGATTATTGTTAGGATCCTTGTCTGCGTTTCTTGTGGTGAAGAAGGATCTAAACAACTTTGGACTTTGATAAGTCACAACGCGGTGCATCCAGTACCAAGGTGAAAAAAATTTGAATATGCAAGTTTTTCATCAATGTGGAGCAATAGAAATATGTTCAAACATACTTTTCACAAGGACAACTTTATAAGGGAAAACTCTTAATCTTGTGTTTAAAAACGCAATAACAAAAATGCTATAAATCACTGCTATATTTGGGAATATCTCTATAGAGCAGGCCGTGCCCTCTTTAAACAAGATTATATTTGGTTTGAGCCGATTTGTGTATCAATTCTCAAGGTGGAACACAATCAAGGACATCCAACGGCACAATTTTAGTACATTTTCTCAAAACTAAAATGGTTCCTTTTCATTTAGCCCAAAGATGTGAGGTGATGGTCCACAAAGAAACTACTTTTGAGAGTTTTGTAATGAAATCTTCTTCCCATTGTTGTGTTTGAATAGAAGCCAGGATAATATTAGACAAAACAATATTAATACAAAAACGCTACCCTCGCATGAACATGTATTAAGGCAAAACAGAATTAGGTTGGTGTGAAATAGAAAGTGATCTAAAAATGATGGGCTGTGTTTGTGTTTGTGAGCAGCAGGGGGCAATTTTCAAGTAATATAATTTCCTGGCAACGGTCCCTGAAAATTATAGCAATAAGAAAAGCGAGAATTCAGTGCAGCCAATCATTTCCAAAAGCTTTGCAGTGGGTGGTTTTGAGTCAATAATGCTTGTTATACAGATCACTACCACACCATATATCAACTGTTTCATAAACTGAAAAAGGATAAAACCATAGAATTATGTATATAAAAAATAACCTATGATAGTAATTTGGAATGAACTATTCTGTTCATATTTCTTTACTCTTTCTGACCAACTTATCAACACCAAACAAAGACAGCAACCTCTAAACCACGTCTCCTCTATGGTCTCCCGTCCAATAGTCTCCAAAACTATTTTATGTACAAAACTACTGCCCACCTGTTCACTCTCACCCGATCTAGGGACCACATCACCCCCATACTCAAACAACTCTAAATGCTTCCTGTCCCATATTGCAAAAAAATATAAGGTCTAAATATTGACGTATATTTCTACATTTACTACAGTAAAACTACATCTATTAATTAATATACAACTAATATTGTATTTTTTTTCTAAATGATATCCATCCATAAATATCCAGGTTGGAGAAAAGAGCAGGTGGAGGGACATGTTTGTTCTGATATCACACGGTGGATGGAGCTAAAAACAACTCCAGGTTTGATTGATATGAACAATGGATGTTTAAAAGCTTCAAAAAGTCAATTTGGCAAAATACGTATTCTTTAAAATGTATAATTACACTGTCCTAAAAATGACACTACATAATCACCACATAACTTATTTTGATACTTCAATGGTGGTCTGCGTACAACATTGCACAGTTAGCTAAGAAAAAATCACACAAAGAAAATGTATATTCCAAGTTGATAGCCTTTTAGAGCAGCTCACATGCCACATTTCCTGATATTTCCATTCAATTTCAACCTAAACTAGATCTGTCAGCCGTTTTCCACATCTTCCAACACAAATAAGTCACTCTCACACCTCAGAAATATCGAGGACATATCAAATCCAAAAGGGCAATGCGAACAGGGCAGACAGCGGTTCACGATCTGACAACTCGTACGTCTGAATCTGAGTTGTGTGTGTTTTGACGGCAGCGGAAGGCGATAACCTCGTGTCTCTCACCAAAGCGTCGAAGACCAGAGTATCAAAGGTGTCGCTGTCTGAGTTTTCCATCATGATGTTGAAGAGGGCGTCGAGCGTGTCCTGCAGGAACTGAGGAAACCAAAGAGGATGAGTTAAGTCACTGCTCAACAAAAAAGGGTCAAACTTAGTCAATAAATTTAGAAAGTTGGACAACAGATATACAAAAAGTTATTAATCAGACCTGCATGTTTTGGACGATGGACCTCTGTCTTATCTGTATTACTACTGAACATTATTATCTCAAGAAATGAATGTTTTGAAATATTTATGTTTATGGATCCATGTTGCTACCAATGCCAAAAATGACAGACTTGAGGGTGATACCGAAGCATGGGTCTTTATTCCAGTTGTTTTAGTTGTTACAAGGTTTTTTACACAGTTTTTGAAGAATTCTTTCAGACAGAATGAAAACAGGGCATGCATTATATACAGAACAATCTGTGTCACACCAAAAGAGACAATCCAGGTGTTAGTCCAAACAAGAAAGACAAGTCGCCGTGACCTGATCCCTTCAATGCTATAATTAAGTAAGTAAGTAATTTTTATTTATATACTGCCTTTCACAGACCAGAGTCACAAAGCGGTTTACAATTGTGGGCATGTGTCTCTCACTCCACACAGAGATGGGAGCGGGGTCAACAGTACCGGAGGCGCATGCCAGACCTATTGTACATGTTTTTAAGTGGTAGGAGAAACCGGAGTACCCACAGGAAACCTACGCAGACACAGGGAGAACGTGCAAACTCCACTCAGAAAGGCCCTGTTCCGACTGGGATTTGAACCCCAGAGTGCTATCCACACCGTGCCGCCCGTGTCTTGGGTTTGACCATTTCTCACACTAGTATCAATATCTTAAGCATATGCGTCATCAATTTCTCAAGGATAACATCTTTCTTGTTATTCACATTGACACATTGTATAAAAATCTTCCCCTAAATGTTTTTTCATGGTAGGCCCCATAGTGGTGGTTGCATTCTGAATTGCCAACGCTTAAATCTGAAGTACATACGTTTCTTTGTTTAATAAATGATACAGTGGTCCCTGGTTTAGGACAAGTTACAGGATTTGTTGGTTCAAACTAATCTAATAATTGAATAATTGGCAGACAGGTCGTGAACAAGGCTCAGTGTGTCCCGTTCCATCTGTGACCCTCTTCCCAGGGCCAGAACATTGCTCATTTGTCTTCCGTGCAATTAACCTGCTTAATTTGCACCATGTCTGATGTTGACACTTCACTTTAAGTCCATGTGACAATGATTACCTTTTATATCTAGAGTATTTTAATCAAGCTGCGTACCACTGAAGTCTCACTTACAATACACCAGTGTTATTCAACTTATTCAAGAGCATTACCATTCATATGTGCAAAAATACATGTCAGGTTCCAATGGACTTGCAATTTATTTGAAGTGGTGTGCTAAAAGATTGTTTCTCAGATAAAAAGAGTTGTTTATATTGAATAAAATAGAGTTTTTATATCAATATTTGCACTACTGTCACCTTTACCTTCCAGGCCCTATCCAACTCCTCTCTGAGCCCTTGATATTTCTTGAGTTTTTCGCGCTCATTTTTCCTGATGTTACAATCGCTTGGAATTGCCACGGGTCTTGTCTGGTGTGGTATATCTGGTGCTCAGGGCCTGCCCATGTACTCGAGCCCCTATATAGCCATTGGTAGGACTTCTTGGTGTTACATTTGGTACTCTGATGTTGTAGAGTTTATTTTGATAACATTCAAAGAAGTCTTTTTTAGTACATGGCTCCATTGACTTCATGAAGAAAGAACTGATAGAGCTTTTCGTCTGAATCCCTCTTTCCCTTTTGTCTGTTTATATTGTTGAAGAATTGCTTTTGGGACTTTTGGTGCGTTCAAGGCTGAGAAAAACTAGGTACAAACAACTGCTGCTAGAACAAAATTGCCCAGCAGTACAAGTCTTTTTGATGCATCACGAAATGTAGTAATTTAAAAACAGAATTTGAGTAATTTAGTGTCTTTTGGAAATAGAGGTTTTTAGGTTACTTTAGGCTGTATCTTTTCTCTCGAAATGACCGCAGAAGGCCAGCAGTGTTATTGGTGGGACAAAAACACAAAATACCCCACGGAGGTACACAGAAAGGTGATGGCAGAAAGCTGACACCTCTCCCCCCCTCACGACAAGGCAGGTGTGAAATCATTTGTGAAATTGCTGCCAAGGATCTATGGCTTTTAGAGGGAAATTACGGTTTTGTTTGACTGCATTGTTTATGTCACCAGCTGTTGGAACTCGATGCTCTCATCAAAACACATGCAGAGAATGGATGTTTGTGATCATAGACAAAAAACATGAGGTGTTTTGAGGTGAATCCTTAGGCAGATAATGCATATTTTGCCCAGTGAGGCTGTGGATTTGAAGGGTTGAGGTACGATTTACAGGTGAAATTTGGGATATTAAAATATTGGTTGAATATAAGTAATTCAAAAAAAAAAAAATAGAAACAAAAATATTCTGTTTTTATTTTGGGTTTTACAAACGTCGGGAAAACCTGCTAAGAAGTACAAATGATGGGTGAGAAGCCTTCCTTTGCTTTAACTAATCCCTGTACGACAGAGCTTATACAAACGTCTCTGTATTATCTTAATATAACTTTTTTTCACTTAAAATACAGTTTTTAGCCCAAATTGAATAGTTACCTTGACGACTTCCCCGCCGTCCACCTTCATGAGCTGCCTCAGGTTCTGCTGTAGGAGGCTGGTGTTGGAACGCCATTTCAGCAAGCCGAGCAAATCCACTGAAATCCAACCAAACACATGAGATTTACCACAAATACACATTATTTTGGACTTAGTATTTGAGTGTTAAACAGGAGTAGAAGAAGTTGTAGTAGTAGTAGTAGTAGTAGTAGTAGTAGTAGTAGTAGATACTGCATTGTCATTGACACACCAAATAATCGTCAACAAACAAATATATGCAAAAGAATATGCGAAAACTGCGTAAACTGACCTTATACAAGTTTGAATTGTATGTGCATACATTTTGTGTGACTGGTCGATCCCAATCACACAAAACGTTTACATAAGCTGTAATAAATGGATTGGGAAGACCAGAGAAAGACCCAGGACACCTTGGAGGAACTATGTCTCTCAGACTTGGAACACATCGGGAATCCCCCAGATGAGCTGGAGGAAGTGTGTGTGGACGTCTCTGCTTAGACTGCTGCCCCCGCAACCCAGAAATGGATAAAGCGGAAGAAAATGAACGGTTGGAGAGATGTGAGAAAGAGCTGTGTAGAGAGTTAACCTTTGGGCTCAGAACTGATTTGCTAAGTGAGGGTGCTCCTCTCTAAAAAGCTGAAGCCAAAAATGCATGCAAAGGAAAACAAGTGATAGAAAAAAAATCTATGAAGTAGAATAGATTTAGGATTTTTGTTTTTATTTTGTTTACATCTGTGGTGGTTTGAAAGTTACGTAACAGCAACTCATGAGTATGTATTTGTAATCTGCTATATAAACATGGTGGGTTTGCTTCAATGGTGTAGGTTTGGTTCCAATCTTGGTGGGGACATTCACTACGACCTGAGTCTACACCCATTGACACGGGGTCCAGAGTTTCTCCCCCTGAATTTGTTGTGTGATCACACACTATATTTGCAATAGTATGTTGCCTTCTATACTAAACTCAGCTGTAGACTGAATGAGAAGCAGTTAAGGATTTTTTCTAATAGTTAACACAAAATCAATTGGATCAGAGCTTCTGAGTTTTGTGTTGCGTTCATTCTATACTGACTTAAACCTAATCCAAATCTACATAATAGCCCTCACCTGAGGCTCTAACAGTTCAGGAACTGCTCTCGATACTTGAAATAAATCATGCTCTGATCTTTCAATTTCCTATAATAAATAAAAACAGAGGAGAAAATATTGAATTAGAATCTACAGTGAGTAGCTCACTACATTGTTTGACATATACGATCAATCTCTAAAAACAATTCATAGTCCCATGCATACCTACAAAATTCCAACCTCGCCTGATGCACTGAAGGGCCTGTTGCTTCTACCTCAACATTCCCTATATTGTTCTCTCTTGTTGGTTGAGTTTCCTATGTATGTTAACAGAAGATTAATCATCACAATTCATAATTTGCTATTACTTGTGCTTTCTCTTACTTACTTTCCAACTGTTAAAAAAGCTCCTGATATCTTTTATCTTTTTTTGTGGAGGTGGCATTTTTTCTAAATTATATAAGAAGGTATAGACAATCAAAAACAGACATTCATATACATGAACTGCAGAATAATTTATATAACTTGGCCAATGTCAAAAGTTACATAGTATTTCTCAATACAATGAGTTAACAAGAGTTTGGCAATAAGTAACAGTGTGGATTTTTCTATATTTTCTTTTTTTTAATTCCACTCTCAACCCAAAAAGGCAACTAATGACTCACAGGGCTCTCAAGTATGCAAAATAAAAACTTAAATGACCTGTTGTGGTGTGTTTTGCGCACAACCAGCATGCATCGTTAACGCAATGGAAAATTTAGGTATCCGAGCTTTAATTTCGGAAGCGCTGGTTGCGCTTTGGGAAGAGTCAGGGGAGAGACATGTCAGAGACACAGGGGAGAAACGGGGGAGATACGAGGGAGACCCGCACTTGCAACATGGTTCTGTCTGCATATGGTCCGAGCTCGGTACCATGTTAGAGCTGTGCTTTCACTGAGCGCCGCGGCTGTCATTACAAAGCGGCAGCAGCTGCACCAGGACGTGCACATTCAAGTGCATCGCTTGAATGTGCTTAGAGCAAATAACAGCAAGTGCCCGCTGTCACACATTTCACAGAAATTACATTATCAGCAGATAAAGGTTGTAAATCGTGGATCCGTGGAATATTTTCATCCCTAGTTTATCCTGATTCACACAACACACCCACTTATACATTTTGGATAGTAAGAGCACAATAAGTATTTTTTCAGCCTTTCAACCAACCTGTTTCTTTATTGGAGCCAGTTCTGTTCTGTCTCTGTGCCGTGTGAGCTCCTCGGAACATTAAACAGTGCGCTGACAGATTAGAAATAACGTAAGTACTTTGAATGGTAATAGATCTACAGTACTTTCCTCTGATTACTCACGTGCTACAACGCTCAGGGAACGAAAAAAAACACTTGCTTCACGCTGGCTAACTTTTAGAAATTAAACAGTTGCTCAGTGCTTCAGTTTGGCGCTGAAGAAGACAGCCAATCACTGCAGAGAACGGAACGGGTCACGTGCTGCTGCTGCTGCTGTTGCTCTGGAGGTGAGGAGGAGGCGCGACGTGTGCACAAACGGAAGACATGTGTCCCGGACCGTCCGGGTCACGGGCAGTGGCGGAGCCAGACTCTTAAACAGAGGGTGGCCAGGGGGTGGCAAGGGTTTTTTTGAGGGGTCCACATTTATACTATTCCGAAATTTTATTTCGCACAAAAACTGGCTAAACGATACATTTTAATCTTAATCTTGTCATTATTTTTAATATAAAGTGAACTGAGAGCACACTTGGAAACTCCATCCATCCATCCATCCATCCCTTTTCTACCCTTTAATCCATTTCTGGGTCAGGGGGGTGGCAATCAGAGATGCCACCCAAGTCTCATAGCACCAGCCCCTCACTGACCCGCTGCAGGTGGTGAGTCCACAGGAGGACGGCTGCTCTCTGAGTGTGAGCAGAGCCTTGATCTTTCAGTGGGGGCTTATGGCAAAGTGGGGTTAAGTGTCTTGCCCAAGGACACAACGACAGCAGTCATCAGTGGGAGTCGGTGGAGAAGGTGCAGAGGTGGGAATTGAACCCACAACCTTCTGGCCATAAGGCCAATGCTCTACCAACTGAGCTACTGTCGCCCCATGCACTTGGAAACTACAAAGCAAAAAAAAAAAAAGTGTATTTAAATAGTAGTCTGAACAAAAAAAGTGCAAAATAACATCATTCAAACATTGCATTACATTTTTTCTTTTAACAAATTTAGCAAATTCCTACGGTTCTGGTGTAAAGCAGCAAAGATGTTGACAAACTCATCCATATTCAGCCCTGAGCCTTCCTTTACCCTACACTGAGGATACCAAGATGACTCAATCATCTGCCATGGTCGTTCTGAGATGGTTTTTAATAAGTTTTAGGACAGAGAAACTTATTTCACAAAGACGCAGTACTGACAGGTATTAAAAAGATCTTTGCAAGCCTCAAAAAAAAGCTCATGAAACACTTTCCAAACGTTCCCCGTTTTGGGGTCAAGCGACTGCACATCATCCATAATCTTAGCTATTTTGTTTCTTTTTTTGTGTGTGAAAAAACGCCTTCTGCCAACAGACAATCCTGCACCTGTCTGCGACACCCTCTCATTCTCTGAAACTCAATTATATAAGCTATATTTTAATACAACACAACAAATTCCTCATCATCTTAAAACATACTGCCTCAGAGTCTGACCTTCAGGCTGATCTACAAGCCTTTTCCTAACAAAAAAAGGCCTGTAGGCAATGTTTCCTCCTTTTCTTTTAATGTTTAGACTAAAGGGAAGAGGGCGATGATACGATGGGCAATTAATAATGGAAAATAAACACGCATGCACCCCGCACGCACACACACACAGGCACGCACACACACGCAGACACACTGGCACGCTGACACACGCACACAGGCGCGCATACAGGCACGCACAGAGGCACGCACACACACTAAAAGTTCTACAAACTGAACAAGTAATGCGCTGCAGTACGTGTGTCTATACTTTGTGTCAAATGTAAACGGTTGGCTCTGCATCGCTAACTTACCTCTTTGTTTTCATCACGACTTGGGCACATGTCCAACAACCCAAAACATTAGCATACAGCACCGGCTCCACGGAGTCAAGGTGCGTTCACAGACGGGGGAAACCGTGGGAATTTTTAGCTTTTGCCGGAAAAAGTGCGGAAGATTCTCAAGATTAACATTATTACATTGCCGTCTTCCGAGGGGGGCACTGGGGGTGGCAAGGATATTTTTAGAGGTGGCAGTGGCCACCCTGGCTACCCCTCTGGCTCCGCCACTGGTCACGGGACATCATGTCATTTTGGTGGGGACTTTTTAGTCCTCACCAAATATTGGTGGGGACATGTCCCCATGGTCCCCACGCAAACCTACGCCCTTGGTTTGCTTTCATATTAGCGCAAAATTTGTTCAAGATGAAGCTAGAGAAATCTTGTGATAGGACATGTTGTTGATAGATGAAAATCCAGGCAAAAAATGTAAATCATTATTATTACTATTATTAATGTCATTTAGACTTTACCAAGGACACATATGCAGGCACATGATCCTAATAAGATAAAGAAAGACATATTTATAACAGCAGTGCCAAACACAGGCAAATTAACTGCCTCAAACTGTCCGCATTTAATCCACTTTTTTTTGTATATAATCGATTTCACTTAACATACAACAAAAGCTCAGTTATACAGTACGAGGAGAAACGTTTCCCCTCTTCTCATGACGAAAGCAAAAATATATATATTCAGGCGAAATCGTGACAGCTTTAACTTTGTGTCTTTGGCGGAGTACAGTGAGACGCTCGAGTGGTTTGGGGAGAAAGCCAGCGAAGCGGTGGTGACACGGTGATGGATGCAGATCATGCATGGAGCCGACAGCCAATCACAGCGCAGCCACGTGGGGAAAGATCAGAGCACCAGGGATTCCCAGCTTTAAGTCTATACCAGGATATGAAAGGTTGACGCGATCCATTTGAATGGCATGTGGAAATCAAAATAAAATTGTTGTTTGGAT